AGAAAGAAAGAAAGAAAGAAAGAAAGAAAGAAAGAAAGAAAGAAAGAAAGAAAGAAAGAAAGAAAGAAAGAAAGAAAGAAAATCTTAGAAAACATGGAAGTTACATGGAAGTCAATATTTTTTAAATCCTAACAAGTTAAAACAATATTCTGATTGCAACACAATGAAATTAAAGTGGGAGAAAATGCATGAACCAGGAAATGGGTCCTCAAAAGCAACTGGATACATACAAGATGGAAAGACAAGGTTTAGCATCATTTTCTCTGAGAGTGAGGGATTTTAGTCAACACAGAACTCAGTTTGAGTCACCAGGGCAAGGTGGCTCACAGATGCTGGTACTAGAGATGCTGATATATTATCAATCTTGCTTTTAAAGGGCCCTAGACAAATAGGAGCTTGCTCCAGGAGGTCATTCGGGATGGGAAGAGGACTGGAGTCCAGGCTCCAAGATATCTTGTTAAAGGAGCTGGGCTTTTGAAGAAAAGAAGATCTAGTGCCATGTGGTCTCTACTTCATATCTTTGAGAGGCTATCACTGAGCAGAGAGCATAGATAGAGTTGATGTGGTCATACGGCACAGAGCTAGGACCCATGGGTTAATATTATAAAAAAGCACATTTTCATTCATTAGAAGGAATAATTTTCTAACAATTAGAGCTGCCTAACATGCAACTGTCTGCCCAGAAAAGAATGTACTCTGTCACCGGAGACTTACAGGTAGAGACTGCACAGTCATTTGGCTATCAAAAAGTAGAAGGACTCCTGCATTGGGGGAGGGTGATTGTACTAGATTATTGTTAAGATTGCTTCCAACCCTAAGATTCTAGGATACTGTTCATTAAAATGAGAAAAACACACAAACAAACACAAAAAGAATATGATGAGAGTGCACAGGTTGGTAGATGAGTCACAGTTGTGTATAGGAAAGAATTGATGACGAGAAGAAAAGAAACTAAGTGGCTAAGAGTGGGCAGACAGCAAGTAGAGTGGCTATAAAATACTGGAAATCTTCAGATTTTTCATTTAGCCATCCCTTTCATACTGACAGGGTCTTACATTCTAGCCATGCAAATGAACAGAGCACAGAAGTCCAGAACCAAAAAGAAATTCAGCTAAACCTAGAAGAAATTAGGCTAGAGAGAAGTCCAAATGTTGCTAAAAATGGCCAGGTTAATCTGCTGTTCTGAGACCATACCCCTCCAGTTTTGTGACGCATGCTGTGATCAGATAGTGTGTTGCCATGACAATGGTCAATGTGGAAAGGCTGCTAAATTTTCTGCATTTTGAAAGGTTTTCCTGAACCTGCCTACAAGACTTTCATTTATTTTTGCATATAAAAAACCTTGGCAAGGCTGGCCATTTCTCACTGTTCCTCCCTTCCCCTTTCCCCCATTAAAAACAAAGGAGGGGACACAGGCACAGATTGATTTGGGGAGTTGGGATGGAAATGAGGAAGTGGATGGATGAAACTCCACTCTATGGGAGAGAATTTAGCCATCATGTCAAGTTAGTTGAATTTGTTCAGCCTTTGAGCGTGGGGTTTTTTCTCTTACTACATCCCTTACAAGCACAAAAGATGTGATTTTTAACCTACTGGAGATGAAACCTGAAGAGGTTCATCTTATAGAGATGCATTCCACATGCTACAGGATGACTGGAGGGACAGGAAAATTTAGACTTCACCTTATCCTATCTTTTCTGCCAAGAGAAAAAAAAAGGACAAAAATAAAAACATGGAGAAAGTCAATTCAAGCTTTTAGGTTCATACAGAGAAAAGCTATGTTTTGCTTCCACAAATTGCTCTTCTTGTGCCAATGAATCTTGAGGATATATGTCATTGTTCACAGGAAGTGTGGGTTAGAGAGTGGATCACTCAGCCTAGCTCATGACCACTACTGTAAGATCATCCTCCCACCATCTTCATGTGCTCAAACTTTGCCTTTCCTTTGGTTTATGTACCCTAGAGGGGCTGGCTCACAGTATACTTTCCAGAGTTGGAACAGTGCTGTGCTCAATCTCCAGAGGCTGCTAGCTCCGCAAGTTACTGGGTAGCTCTACATGGGGAAACAGGGGTAGAGGTTTTCTAGTCCCTGTTATTGATGACATTTGAATCAAGTAAAGATCCCTAGGGGGGTAAAAGCTTCATGTTGCAGCCCAGGCCCAACCTTCTAGGGGTGGGGACAGGGAAGGGTGGGTGAATTCTGCATATGTATGTGTTAGAATTCTATGGTTTCTACATTTGCTCTGAGTTCCCAGACTGTACCCCAAGTTTCCCTGTGATAAAAAAGGAAACAAATGTGGCCAGGAGGTAAAGAGGAGTGGTAGGGAGGGGGTAGACACAAGATGAAAGAAGGATTTGTGCACATCTGCCTTTCTGACCCTTAATGAAAGAGGCTTAGTATGGTAGCCTCTCCAGTGCAGGGTTGGTGAGATGGACCAGCAAACTGATGCAGGTGTGGGGAGAGACAGCACAGGAGAAATAATAAGAATAATAGCTACTATTTATCTTATAAATAAGGAAACTGAGGCTCAGAGAAATAAGTAAGCTGGTCAAGGTCACCTTCATTCATTCAGTAAGTAATTACTAAGCACCTACTGTGTGCCACACACTGTGCTAATAGGTAATGGAGTGAACATTTGAACCCAGGTCTGTCTGACCTGGGGCTTTGGAGTCAGGCTGTTGGTGCTTCCAGTGCCCCTCCTCTCTTTGCAGTGTTTCACTGTCAAGTCTACTCATCATCCTCCATCTGCTTTTTCTAATCACCCCTAATAAACCCTTCCCACCTTGCACTGCACACCCAGCTCCTTCCATGTGGTTGATCCACAGCACCTGGAATCTGATGTCTTCCTGGAAATGGGAGGAAGATAGCCATAGGTAGCACCTGAAATCCTGGCCCCTGACCTAGGCCTTTGATCCCTAGCCCTGCCATGCCCCATCATCCCATCATACTGTAATTGAACCTTCAAGCTCCATTTTTAGCTGAGTAGAGAAATAAAAGAGGAGGACAGAAGGTGGAAGAAGCCAACTGACTCAGCTCCTGCTGCCTGAAGTGTGCTGTGGTCACCAGCCTGTCTGCTATTTATAATTCCTCAGCCTCAAGCTGAGACCCTTTGCACATCTACCAGTAATATTCTCCAGAGAACCATTGTGCTGGATACAACCTGGCAGCCTAAAATCTGGGATTGACATTCTTCTAGGGACTAATAATTGGGGAATCAGGTTTGGGCATGTCCAAGGCCTCCTGGAGCCCTAAGCTTGAGATAGTACTGATGCCTGGTGGGACTCAAAACCATGAAAACTCAGCTTACTTCCATACTTTCTCTTGCTTCTTGAGAAGCCATGAGGATAAGTTCAAAGGCAGGATTGATTCCAAGACAGACTGACCATTTGCTTCAGGGCTTTTGGAAGAACTTTGGAGCAGTATTGTGGAGGATATCTTAAGCCAATTTGCATGACTTCAGGTGAGGATCTCTGTGATGTCCACCCTTTATCTCTCCTTGCTGTCCCCTGTCCTTTCTTCATTCCTATCCAGCCTGGTATGGTCCTTTCCAGCCTACTACCCATCTGTGCTTCTCCATTGTCCAGATTCCTCTCTTGCTTTACCAAAGAGTATAATAATTAGAAAGCTTTGTTGTCGTTGTTAAACAGAAAGATGTTATAAAAATATCATGCTGAAAATTTTATAAATTCTAAAACAAAAATGGAATTGGCTACCTAACATTATAGTAACTTAGTAGCTTTTAACAAACCATGAAAACCCTTGGCAGCTTACTTATGAAGACTTGAAATATCTGCCTAAATCCAGGAGGTGGGAACTACCATTATTGAAAGCCTACCATGCAACACCATGTGCTGATTCTTTACATACATTTACATTCATTTAATCCTCACAATTACATTATGAGTTAGGAAACTTGTGCCTGAAGATGTAGTGTAACATGCCCATAGTCACATAACAAGTAAGTGGTGACCTCAGGATTTGAATCTAGGCTTGATGCACTCCTCTCCTTGGCAATATTGTTCAGTGAAGTCTACTCATCATCCCCTGTCTGCTTTTTCCAATTGCCCCTTAGTAAACCCTTCTCACCCTGCAATGTCTCCCAAAGTGAGGTTCTGAACCAGTTTAATGCTAAGAAGTATTATTGTGTCTCTACTTGAAAGCCTAGCTAAATCAATCAATGAATATTCTTTGGCATATCTCATGTGCTTGGTGCCATGGGAAATATCCCTGCACCTGATAAACAGCTGAAAAGTCTAGATGAGGATATAATGGCTGGCTGACACTTTGTAGAAGAAGTGGGGGAGTACAACTTTAGAGAAACTGTTTTCAGAAGATTGAAGGATTTGAATAGAAAAGGCTGAGGAAGTGCTCATAAGCAAGGGAAACTCAGATAGGTGGGGGTCAGAACAGATTGCAGGTTCCTTTGAGTTTCAGGCAAGTAGTCCATATCAGATACAGGAAAGTGGGAACCATTCTAGGTTCTGGAATTAGGATATGACTTGATGCAGGGAGATTTGAATGGATCGTGGTGGTATTATAAGGGCCTGAACTAAAACAGTGGTGCTGGATATTTCCTGTCATATTCCTCCCAAATGGCTGAGAGCTGTTAGGAAGAGAGTATCAATAGCACTTGGAGGTAGGTCAAGGGGAACAGAGAAATAAATATGATTCTGAATTTTTCAGCCTGGCTACCAGCTGGGATGGGGAACTGTTGGGGAAGGTGGTTAGTTTTACAGAAACATATACTTGATGTGTTCTGTTTTGATATGTTGAATTTGAGGTATGATACAATGTCTCAGTACATCTACATGGAAGAATTTCTTGCAGCCAATTAAAAAGAAATGTTTAAAGATAATTGATTGAGCCCGGCCGGGCGTGGCTCAGCGGTTGAGCGTCGACCTAGGATCCAGGAGATTGGGGTTCAATTCCTGGTCAGGGCACATGCCCAAGTTGCGGGCTCTGTCAATGACTCGCTCATCATTGATGTTTCTCTCTCTCTCTCCCTCTCCTTTCCTCTCTCTGAAATCAATAAAGATATATTTAAAAAAAAAAAAAGATAATTGATTGACACAAGAATATGCTCATGATAACAATGTTAAGAGAAAAAAACAGGATACAAAATGATTTAATACTCTATAGTCTCAATTTTGTAAATATACATAATCTTTGTGTGTGCGATTGTGTATGGATATGCACAGAAAAACACTAGAAGAAAATATACCAAAAATGCTAACAGTAATTACCTTTGATGGTAGAATTGGAATTATGGGTACTTTTTTACTTGTTCTTTATTCTTTTTCTGTAATTTTGAAAATGTCTACCTTGAATATATATTCCTTTTACAGTCAGATAAAAGCAATATATATTTAAGAAAAAGACAATTTTTTATCAGACATGTGTCCCAATTTTTTGTTTATAAAATCTGGTCATTACACCTGCACACAGCTGGAAAAATAAAGGACTGGAGAGTGAATATTTTACGTCTCAGGTGCTATTGCCTTTGTTAGGTACTTCTAGTAATTCTAGAGTGCTTCCATTTGTCTTGCAAAGTAGATCCTCCATAGACTCACAATGAAAGCCTCTTCTGTCTGGTAGAAGGGAAGAAACTCCAGATAGCTCCCTAGGACCACCTCTCTTTCCAAAATTCTCATTCACTCCAAGGTAACTGTCTGTCTCAGTCTCAGTCTTTCTGATTTTTATCTTCTGCCCCATTGATCTATGTATCTCTTCCTTTCCACAGTTTTGATTAATGTAGGTATATAGTAAATCTTGAAGTCAGGTACAGTGGTTCCTCTTACTTTCTTCTTTTTCAAAACTGTTTTAGCTATACTAGTTTCTTTGCCTTTTCATATAAACCTTAGAATAATCTTGTCTATATCTACAAAAAAATCTTGATGTACTTTTGTTAGGAAAATTAATACCTTTATTATGTTGAGTCTTCCAATCCATGAACATGATATGTCTCTCCATTTATCTTCTTTGATTCTCTTCTTCAGCATTTTGTTATTTTCAGCATACAGATCATGAACAGGCTTTATACCTAAGTTTTTCTTTTTTAGGGTCCGCATATTTTTCATTTTGATTTCTATGTGTTTCTTGCTCGTATATAGAAATACAGTTTTTGTATATTGCACTTATATCCTGTGACCTTGCTGAACCCATTAATTTGTTCTAGGTTTTTCTTATAGATCCCTTGGGATTTTCTATATAGATCACCATTCATCTTTAAATAGAGGGGTGGGGGGAAGATGAGTACCTCATTATTTTGGGGCAGGAGTAGAAATTCAGGACCCCCATGAGACTTTCACTGATACCAACCTGGCCAGGAATGAGAGTGACACCTTGTTACTGCTCCCCATGTGACCCCTACTATAACAATGGTGGGTGGGCCTCCTTGCCATTAATCAAGGATGAAAGTTATGACTTTCCACTTTGCCTTCTCTGATACCACCCTAGTGGGGTGAAAGGGGAGCCTGGTTACTGCTAGGACAACTTTTTATTTTTATTTTAATGTTTCATTCATTCAACAAATATGTATTTGGTGTTAATATGTGGCAGGCCCTACTCTAGCCTCTGTTGATAGAAATATAAATAGGTCAGGTAAAGGCCTTGCCCATACTGGAGCTTATGTTCTAGTGGGGAAGACAGACAATAAGCAAATAAATAAATATTTAATGTTGGTTGCTGATAAATTCAGAAGGGATGCTTTTAGATAGAGTGGTCGGTAAAGGCCTCTCTGAGAAGGTGACATTTGGGAATAGAGCTTAATAAATTAAAGAAAGAGCTTTGCAAAAATTGAGGTGAAGAACATTTAGATGAAGGGAAAAGGCAGGAATAAATTTGATGTGTTTAATGTATATGTTTTAATGTGAATTAGAAATATAACTATCTCATCACTTTGATTTCACAGATATCATTGTAAGATGAGGTTAAGTTTAAAAAGAGTCTGTATAAGAGATATAAGTGGTATATGAATATGGTGAAATTTTTTACAGTATTGGAGTTTTGGATACAAATCTGTCTCTGAGATAATGTTATTACCCCCATTTAACAGATGAGAGAACTGAGGCTTAGGGAGGTTGATTAGCATGTGCAAAGTCACACAGAAAGTAAGTGAGGGAGCTGGGATTCCACATGAGAAACTGAAGATCATACCCAAAGTTTAGAAGAGGAAATATGGAATTTTTTTTTTTGCCTGATGGAGCTGCTGCTTGTTTCATACAACAAACCAAGGACTTTTGAAGAACAGTTGGAAGCCTCTAATGTGTTTAATTAAGCCTTTTTTCTGTTTGTCCAAAGTACATGCCTAAAACAATTATAGTGCTTATTCCCTTCCGGCCTTTAGCCCTAAAATAATCAAGGGGCAAAAGGGAGATTGGAACTTATTAAAGAAAATAAGGTATAAAAGGGGCGTCTGTAATATTTTAAATAAAATTTAAAAATATAAAAAGAAAATAAGGTAAACCACTCTGGGTTCTGGAATGCCTAACTGTTGACAATACTCTCAGTTTACCCGGGGGGCCTTAACCAACTGAGACTCAGGTGCTGTGTTTAGCACAGCCGCCAAATCCAGCAGTGCTAAGTGGCATTTTATGACAGAGTAGGCAAGCCCAGCCTCCCTGGCCTCGATGCCAAGGGGCAGTCTTTGCAGGATTCTTATCACAAAGTTCCAGAGCAAACTCTGCAGACATCCCATCCCATGGACTCCTCTGCTGTACAGGGACAGGGACATTCCCAATCCACAGTTAGGCCACTAAAGAGCTCTCAAGTGTTTTGAGAAAGGAAAGCATCTCTATAGGCTCCTGGTTTCCAACATCCTTCTGCCTCTTTGCAACTTCAAGAACATTTTGGAGGGAGATTTCATAAAGATTTCTAAATTGAGTTAGAATTTCAAGTCTATTGTGACATGCAAATTAGTCCTGCTTGCCCGTTGGCAGCAGTGCAGCTGAAGTGCCTAGAGACAGGCTATGAAATGAAAACATCAAAGTGATTAAATGTGCCCGAAGAGCATAATTGAGTGCATGAATAAGAGAAAATAAAACAAATTGATTTTCTCCCGTGCCAGAAAAACAGAATAATTGAGAACAAAATAATAGACTTTGAAGTAATCAAAGTGAAGAATGCACCATAGTGACATAGAAACAGCCAGTTGTGGGAGAGATTTATTGTGTTTCTGTTATCATTTTTACAACTTTAATTTCATTTAGCTAATAAATACAAATCAATTGAAAAATCAGTCTACCAGAGAGGAGGCAGTCCCAAGCCAAGATTTTTATTCACATCTCTAAAACAGGCTGAGGCAGTGATCCTTAATCTATTTTCATAGGCACACATATATCCTGTGAGCTGGAAAACAAGTTCTGGAAGGTCTCTATCCTTTGGATGGATGATGTTCTGTTCTGCCAGTCACTTTCCACATATAGGCTTACAGATTCAACTTTCAAAAGGGTCACTTATATA